TGTTTTTATGATAATATGTCATGGGGTAGTTCTATTTTGGTCAGGTCTGTTTGGTGTTCTGGAGGCATCCTGTACCTGTATTGGCATGGTTTTCTTTAGATTGGGAAATTTTCTGTTATTATTTTGTTGAATATATTACACATTCCTTTTGCTTGCACCTCTTCTCCTTCTTCAGTGCCCATGATTCTCAGGTTTGGTCTTTTGATGGAGTCAGTAAATTCTTGCATTTTCTTTTCACTGGTCTTGTGTTGTTTAACTGATAGTTCTTCAGTTTTTCCTTTAATTACCATTTCATCTTCGAGTTCTGAGATTCTGTCTTCTGCTTGTTCTGTTCTGCTGGATTGGCCTTCCATTTTGTTTTGCATTTCTGTTTTCTGAGGTTTTCCATATCCTGAGTCACTTCATCTTTAGTATTGTCTATTTTCATCCTGAGTTGATTTATCTTGTTCTTTGTTTCACTTTGGTGTTTATACACTGCTTCTATAGTTTCTTTTATTTGTTCTTGTGCTTTCTTAAATTCTCTATTTTTATTGTCTTGGAATTTCTTGAGTGTCTCCTGTACAATTTGTTTAACCATATCCAGTATCATCTCTATAAAATTCTCATTGATTACTTGCAGGATTTCTTCTTTCAGAGTGTTCTTGTGTCTTCATTGGGTTCTTTGGCATAATTTATCTTCATTTTGTTGGAGTCTGGATCTGGGCATCTGTTTTCTTCATTTCCCTCTGGCTCCTGTACTAATTTATTGTTAGGGGGAAATTGGTTTCCCTCTTTTTTCTGTCTTCCCATCATTGTTCTTGCTATTGTTACTGTCCCTGTACTGTGTGTAATTCTGTGTTGTCTAGCTTATAATAGTAACAATGGTGATATCTAGATTGGAAGGATGAGAGGAGAGGGAAAGCAAAGAAGGTAAAGAAAAAGGGAAAAACCAAAACAAAAAACAGAGCTGAAGAAATAAACAGGGAGAGATAGTGTACTGATCAACAGTGAGCTAAACAGGCCTTAGAAACACAGAAACAGGATTAAAAAATAGTAATAATAATAAAAATGAAAGGAAAAACAAAAGAATAAATAAATAAATAAAGTTTCCCAAGTTTGAATCAATAAAGTTTCAGTCTTAATAGTTTGATGCTTGTACTTCAGTATCCAGTTTTGGTTTTGGTGTCTGAGTAGTAGTTCTGTTGTTGTCTCATCAAAGGGGAAACAGAAAAAAAATCTCAAGTTCAAATGCAATACAGTTTCAGTCTCATCAAAGGGAGAAAAATGAAGTCTGAACACAGCTTTGTGAATGTCCATGTGAGGCTGCTGCTCACCTGCCACCTACTCTCAGCCAGCTGCTGCTGCAGGGTTTATTTATTGCAAATGTCAGGAATGAACTTTACACTCACCTAGCCCCACAGGCGAGTTCAGTATACAGCCGTCCCAACCTGTTGCAATTGCAGTCCTTTTCATTTAGAGTTCGCGTGGGGATGTGCCCCTCCTCCACTCTCCAGTGGAGGGTGCCAGACTTTAGCCGCTGTTACAGCTTTCTCCTCTCCAAGCACACGGGGGGGAGGTGGTGCCACACCCACCTTCTCTGGCCTGCTTGTTTATTTACAGTTCACATGGAGAAGAGCCCCTTCCCTGCTCTCTGGTGGAGCTTTCCTCACACAGCCACTGTTAGAAGCTTTCCCACTGCAAGGTTTCTGGGTAGTTGCCACCACTCCTGCTTTCTCTGGCCAGCTTGTTTATTTACAGTTCCATGAGGGAGAACCCCTACCCCACTCTCCAGAACTCTGGGTTCCCCGCCCTCTTTGTTATGTGTCTTTTTTTTCAGCTGCTTGTTTATTATTCGGTTTTTATTATTTGTTTTTTTTTTCCCCTGGGCAGGGGTCAGTCTGTCCAGGGGGCTATGCTGATTTGTCCCAGGGAGTACCTTGTGCCACTTATTTGCTCACCTGGTGGTCTCCCAGGCAGGGTAGGAGCTGGTGTCTGGTGGTGCAGGAGCCCTCTTGGTTTCTGCATTTAACATGGAGTGGGGAAGCTATGAGTGGGCTGGGGGTGTGGAGGTGTTGGAGTTTTGCCTCTTCTTGGTGGTTTTCCTGCAAGGTGTATCTCCAGCATCTCTCCAAGATTTTACTTTGGGAAGCACACTTTCTGCTTCCTCCCTTTAGTCACCATTTTGGAATCTCCTGAAGTTCATTTTTTATTTGTACTTTAGCACTGTTGATGAGAAGATAATGACAGTCTTCCTGGATATTCCAAGTAAGGAAGAGCAAGATAATTTTGTGGCTGAGCTCACAATGTTAAACAGAACTCAACTGATTAGTGTAATGAAGTCAGACATGGAAATATGTCCTTACTCAATTTTCTTCATAAAGTCCTTGACCTCCAGAAAGGTGTCCATAACTGAATAGGTGTGGACCTGTCTGGGGCCCATCTTGAAAAATTCAATAACATGAAGAAATGGAGAAAAAAAGGTGTGGCAGGTCTGCAGTAAGAGAAGGGCAGACCTATTTTCTATTACTTTTGTTGAAGGTGTTATAAACATACTTTACACTTACTTCAGTGCAGGGGATAAAATACTTAAAATGTGCTATCACATTGGGGCCACACTAACAATAACGTGCACATTGTGGAAACAGGGTACCTGAGGCACAGTGGAACTCGAATAAGTTTAACCTGGATTGTCTCATATTGGGAACTTCTAGGCCTAATTATTGTGTTAGTACAATTAAAAGTGATGTTCTTAGAGTGGAAAATGAAATAATTTTCTTTTTTCGTATCTTTTTATTACCATATATTAGTTGTACAGGGGATGAAACAATTTTCTTATGGCAGCTAGATATATCTTTTCTAAATATTTGTCTAGGGAAATTTCCTCAGTGCATAGTACCTTGTTCTGTGATCTGGCTTTGAAAGGAGCGATAACCCATTTGTGAGGTCTCTCTGAAGAATAACAGCTTCCATTGCCAGCATCGGGCACATCTGGCTCACAGCAAGTGCCTTACATGCATGCCATGTTCCATCCTTCAACTTACCTTTCTGGCTATCAAGCTAATACAGATAGAAGAGTGTGGCCATTTAATTCTACTCCATTTTCACCAGCAGAAGTTTTCCTGCAAGGATTGGGCATCCTGATCTTTATTATCATGATTGTTTTGATTCAAACTGATTAGTTTTCATTTTCTGAGTTCCATCATGGTCCAGAAACCTGCAGGATTCTGGAGGACTATGACCCGAGACACATGTTTTGGGCTTAGTTATTGAAAAGGTACATGGTTTGTACTTCAATGGGATAAGGAAAGAATGATTATTGTGGGGTGACCCAAGAGATGTCCTAACTCTACAGACTTAGAAAAAATAGCTCTTGAATCCTGTGATCAGCCTTTAGGGATCTGGTTTGGTGCTGATTCATTGTTTGATGTCAGTTCTGCTTTGTCTCACTCAAATCACTCGTTCATTAAATTATCTGGCCACACACTTTCTTGCTAATACATTTAATTATTTAATAATTTAAATTTATTTAATTGAATAACCATTTAATGATTCCTCTAAAAGTCCAGTCCTGGTAGAGGAAGAGAGGGCTGATATCTAAGTTGATGCTCACCCTCACAAGTGTACAATTCCCATTAGATGCCAGTTCCAGATATCATTTTTTTAACTTTTAGAAAACTCCATATTAGCTAGGGTTTTGATTGTGCTTGAATGAACCCATCTCAGTGACCAACAGTATTAGTTCATTCCTCTGAAGTCCACCTGAAAGGATTTCCCCTCACTGTTGATCTTGAGTTCAGTGTCTAGTTAGAAGTCAGCTACAGTTAGTAGTTTGGAAGAGATTGAGCTTATTTTACTCCCCTTAGAGCTTCCAGAAATAATCCAGATGAAAATTTACAGTTTTATAAATTCATTATCATTTTTATTAAAAGTCATGGAAGTGCACAAATATAATTCCAACACCAGGGAGGCTAAAGTAGGAGTATCACAAGTTCAAGGCAAGGTTGGGCTAGAACTGACTCAGAAAAACAAAGAAACAAAGAAACAAATAAACAAACAAAAACACTGTAGAAGCATATTTATCATGAGATGCTGCTATCCAACAGTCATGTTAGACTTGGCCAAACTGCTATCTAGAGCTTAAGTAAAGTATGAAAAAATATATATATTTGTATGAGTTCTTATTCTCTGAACTGTTTTTTTTTTTAAGAGAAGTTCTAACAATGTAGTCAAGGGTGGCCTTGGATCCTTGATCCTTCTTCCTTTGCGTCCTAAGTGCTGGGATTCACCTGGCTAGTGAATCTGTCTTTAGCCTCTGAAATTCAGGGACTAAATTGGTTTTAATTATATTCTCTCCCTCATTACTCAAACTTGTCACAGGAACTTTTTAAGCTTAAGATCTGAGAAAGCTGTGAATAATGAGGAATCATACAATAGATTTCTATGTTTCACCACAAATATATGAAAGAAGATTATCTTCAATGTCATGCTGAGATTTTGCATTTTGTTAATCTCTCAAGGTGATTCCTAGGAGCACTAATGTTTGATGATTATAGCTGTACACTGTATACAAGAATCATTGCATCATATTGAATTTTAAGAGTTGAAAATTTAACTCTGGCATCATTATACACATGAGGTTTACCTTAGATGTACTTTACACCAATATTGCTGTGTAATGTGAGGTCCTATGATATCTAGGATTCTAATCATGATCTTAAAGTGGCAGGGCATCTTATTTCTGATAAAACAGTCAAAATTTCCTATTACTTGTCATATTCCCAAAGTATAACTAGAAGAGGTCTCATGTATGATGGAACTGCTTACAGAAACTGAAGACAAGGAATAATTTTAATTTTAAATATTCCTAGACATTAAAGCTACAATGAAAATTTCACATGGTTTGCCAGCAATTTGTAATTCATGGACAAATTTATAAATTCATTGTCATTTTTATTAAAAGTCATGGACGTGCATGAATATAATTCCAACACCAGGGAGGCTAAAGTAGGAGTATCACAAGTTCAAGGCAATGAAGAATTCATTTTTCCAATGACCTTCTTGAATGAACTCTTGACCTCTTTATTCCTCAAGCTGTAGACCAGGGGATTTAGCATGGGGATGATCATACTATAAAACACAGATGCCATTTTGTCTGTGTCCATGGAATGACTAGAACCTGGCTGTAAATACATGAAAATGATTGCTCCATAGAATATGGAAACAGTGGTGAGGTGGGATGTGCAGGTGGAGAAGGCCTTCTTCTGTCCTTCAGCTGAACGCATCCTCAGGATAGCAACAAAAATAAACACATAAGAGTTCAAGATAACTAACAGTGTGGAAAAAACATTGAATGCTGCCAACAGGAAGAGCGCAATCTCATTAGTGTAGATATCAGAGCAAGAAATAGCTAGCAGTGGGGGAATGTCACAGAAAAAGTGATTAATCACATTGGAATGACAGAAAGAGAGTTGGAAAGTTAAGGCAACATGGATGGAAGATTGCACAAGTCCAGTGACGTAGGAACCTGCACCTAGTAGGACACACACAGTACTTGTCATGGTGGTGGTGTAATGCAGGGGCTTGCACACAGCTGCATGGCGGTCAAAGGCCATTGAGGCCAGGAGGAAACCTTCAATAGTGGCAAAGGCTGCAAAGAAGAACATCTGGGTGGCACATGCATTGTAAGATATGGTCTTATCTCCCATGAGAAACCCCACCATTACATTAGGAGTGACAGCCGAGGCATAAACACAGTCCACCAGGGAGAGGTTACTGAGGAAAAAGTACATGGGAGTGTGGAGATGGGAGTCCAACAGAATCAACACAATTATCCCAAGGTTCCCAACAAGAGTGATGAAGTAAATGACAGTGAAGATTATAAATAAAGGGACCTGTAGCTCTAGGGCATCTGTTAACCCCACAAGAAAAAATTCAGTCACCTCTGAAATATTCTCCATCAAAGTCATTTGGGAATTACCATGGCAGGTACCTACGACAAGAAGAAAAATATTGATGCTAGTTGAACATCACCATGAGATTCAAAGTGTAACCAGCGCCTTTGCTCATATATCATCTTCCTGTCCAGTGCAGGAGTTTGTGAAAGAGGCTGGACTGGATTCTGGTGGGGGACATGGGATGAGTGAGGTCATTCATCTGTAAGTGGTACAGATGGACACTGGAACTTCTCTGCTGACCACCATTGCCGTAAGATGTGCATATTGTGACTCTGAGGCTCAATTCACTTTGGCTGGTTTATGACATCCTTTATTACACTAAACCACATAGGACTCTTTTGCACAGCTTGCAGTATTGTAAAATCACCCTTGTCTAAAATATATACAGAAAGCTCCATCAGCAGAACACATAGTTCAGGAACATGTGGCCATGCTTTAGTGTATGATGATGACAAAACTTGTCACATGCATCTCCTACCTTTGATGGACCCTTGCTACCTTTTTTATGGCCAAAGATATGAAATGACTTGGGCTCCTGCTATAGGTACAGTTATGCTCTTCCCTTGAATTTGTGATAGTCCTTAATTGGATGCTTCCCTTTAAACACTGGACCCTATACAAAACTGCATGATCTATGAACATTCTTGATGACATCATCATATCTTTTAGTACCTGAAAAACTAAAGGAACAGTTGTTCAAAATGTTAAAGCAAACCTTTAGTTGCTTTCTCCTCATGTTACACGTTTAGTCTTTCATATAGGCTGATGTATTCCATGACCCATGTATTTACTTTACTTGTGGGGAGGGAGAGTAGGGGAAGAAGGTTTACTTTTGTTCTCCCCTATCGACTCTGTGCCCTCAATGAAGTCATATTTCATAGTGCATCTGGTTGGACTTACCTCCAGTGGTGGCTTGGTGACAGCTGAATGTGCTGCTGTGGTTAGAGTTATCTTTAAGGATAACCAAGATGAAAATCATTTTCTACCTTCTTCACAAAGTATCCTGCTCTTATGTGGTGATGAATGTGAATGCTCTATGAAAACTAAAATAATAACATTTTAAAATCAAGCGATCAGAGCCATTAGTACCCATAGCCTTTCTTATTTCTTCTTGGCTACTGTGGAAATTTCAGTTAACAATATTCAGTGTCCAAATTTTCATGTTTCTAAAAAAAATGGTGCATCATTTGATATGGCCATGTGAATGTGGAAAGTACTTTAAGCTCTGAAATTCAAATAGGGAGCTGCTGTCTTTGCACTGCCAATCCTCTAGTATAGTCTAAATACACAAAATTAGGAGAGTGCCTTCCCTTTTGAGCTTAACCACCACTCCAGTGATTTATGCAGTGGATCTGATGCTAAAGAACATGGATATCTAGATGCCACAGAGCAGCATGGTGGAGTGGATAGAGCAGTGGACCAAGAGTGAGGAGATGACTAATAACAGAGTGTCTGTAATGTGACTGGTAACCTTGCTGGGCTTTATTTTTCATTTATAAAATAAAAATGACTGCACATACTATTGCACTTTATAATTCTGGTTATGGTTGCCCATTTTTGCAATACTTACTGTTGTTCTAGGAACAGACAAATGAGGGTACGAAGAGGGTATATGGAAAACCTTCCCGTCCAGACCATTGGTTCAAAATCCACATCCTGGAAAATATCTTGCTGGAGAATCTCCTCCCTAACTGGTGGAGCTGTAGGTTGTGGAACAGAATCCAGGCTGTGTTCTTTCAAATATCAAGGCAGAGACAGCAGCCTTTGCACACAAGTCCCTGGGGAAGCAGGGCCGTGTGATCAGCTGTCTCTGGAGGCTCCTGATTCCACATTGGCTCCTCCAGCTTGACCTCCAGGGAAAGAACAGAGGATAGTGTTTATGTTTGGGCTCAGAGTACTAAAGAAGACATGAGGGAGTAGAAGCTTTGAGAAAGAATCTACCGTTATCCCATCAGCTGCGCCATAGCCAGGGAAGGTGACAAAAAGACAATCCTCTCCTAAATCTCTGTCTGAGGTGTTTCAGACCTCGCACGAGCTTTGTCAAATGTAGTTTTGTCTCAAAGGTCTAGAGGTTTTTCCTGGTATTTTTTTTTGTTTTGTTTTCCTTCTATTTCTTTTGAGAAAATACCCATTTTTCTTATCACTATAGAGCTGGTCTTGGGATATTTTTCTCATTTTTGTAAAAAAAATCTTTTAATACATAATAATTATACATACTTATGGGGTATGATGTGATATTTTGCTACATGCTTATGTTGTGTAATGATCATTGTGCAAATCTGGATAATTAACATATTTCTCCTCTCAAACATTTATCATTTTTGTTGTGATAACATTCAAAATCTTCTCTTCTAATTACTTAAAATATGCAATGGTTTTTTTTTAGCTATAATCATCTGACTGTGCAATAATGTTACAGTTAGGTAGGAGGAATAAGTTCATTCTTTTTTATTTATTTAAGGGAATAGATCCATTTCTTTTTTTCCCCTCTGCATACTACACTCTGATTTTAAACCCCAGGGATGAATTTTCTGTCTTTTATCAATAAAGTCAGGTATAGTTATTTTAAGTTTGAGCCATATGGTCACGTGACTACCTTCAACTTCTATCACCTGTGACCTTTGCTGCTAATTAGTCTGTCCAAACTTCAGTACATTATTTGTAAAGAAAAGTACATTCATAGTGTATGTCTCTCAGAGAAGAATCATAAGTATGAAGTGAGATGACTTAGTACATACTAAAAGATAAATAAATTTAAGTATTACTACTTTTTCATCAACTAAATTTGATACAGCCTGTAGACAATATTAGTAGTGTTCAAATATCACACCTAGTTACTGTATTTCTCTGAAACCTTGAAATTAGTAGAGGTATGGAGTTCTACAAAATGAACTGGAGAAGAATTATGTGTTATTTCAGAGTTGAAGTATGTTGTTGTGCACAAAAAATCTTTTGTCTGTCCTCCTGCAAGGGTAGGTGAAAATTCACATTTCAGAGGGAGGAGCTCAGATGATGAAATCTTCCTTGAACACTTCATTTGAATGAACATGTGGAAAGGGACTTCCACTTTCCTAGGCAACTTTTGATGTACACATAGTAACAGAAATAAGAAATAAATCATTGATACATTAAACCATTGAGCTTTTGTGTTTATTAATTTTTGCAGTGAGACCTAACGTATCCTACTTATAAACTGTGTATGTTTTGTTGTCTGTGTATCTTTTTAACATGGTAAAAATTATTGGTCCTCTTATCATTCATTTCTTCCTTTTCTTAAATAAAACTCTTATTGTAATGTAATTAGATCATAAAATTCACCATCTTAAGGTATATATATTCAGAACTATGCAACTATTACACAGCTTAAGAACACACCAGAAAAAGAAACCCAGTGATTTCCATTTCCTTCTCCTCCCACCTCAACCCTAGGAGCATTCATTTGCCTTCTGTTTCTCTATATATTCTTAGTTTGGATACCTTGTATGAATAGAATTATGCAATATGTGGTAATTTGTGACTGGGTTTGTTCAGTTTGAATAACATTTTTAAAGTCCATTCATTCAGAACATGTATCAGCACTTTATTCCATTTTTGTTTTGGTGATATTGGGGTTTAATTTAGGGCTTTACAGTTGCTGAGGGGGTGCTCTACCACTTGAGCCATGCTTTCAGATCTTTATCCTTTTTATTGATGAAGAATATTGGATAATGAGACTATACCATATTCTATTTATCCATCCATCAGTTGCAAAACATTTGGGTTTTTTCTACTTTTGACCACTTTACATTATACCATTTGTGGATTAATGCATGTGTGGGCATGTTTTTATTTATGTTGGGTACATACTTCTGAATTGAATTGTTGAGTTATACACAAAATGCCATGGTCTGAGTGTGTCCTCTAAAATCCACATGTTGAAAACTTAAACACAAAAGCTGGAGTGCTGGGAAATGGGGCCTAATGGGAGCTGTCAAGGTGATGGTAACTCTGCCCTCAGAAATAATAATATTGCTATAAAACAGATTTGCAGGACTGGGTCGGCTTTTTCTGCCATGTGAGTACACAGGGTTCATCCCTTTTTGTTTCTGTCTTCTGCCACATGAAGATGAAGCAAGAAGAACATCATCAGACACTGAATAACTGTGCTATGAACTTGTAGCCTTCAGAACTGTGAGAAATACATTTTTGTTCTTTATAAATTATCCAGTCTAAGTATACTGTTGTAGTAGCATAAATATACTATGAAAGAAATTGGAACCAGAGTAGTGGGGTGTTGCTATAACAAATACCTAAAAATGTAGAGGCAGTTCTGATCTGGGTAGTGGTAAAGGTGGAACCATTTTGAAGTGAATGGTGGAAAAAGCTCTTATTGACATAGATGGATCTTAATGATCCAATTTTGATGAGGTTTGGAAGAAGAAAAATATCTATTGGAAAAATCTCTGTCTCCTCAGGTATGACTACAGTGGTCATGACTAGAATGTTGGTAGTAATATGGGCAGTAAACACTATTCTGGTGAGGTCTCTAATGGAAACAGGAACAAGGTAATGAAAACCAGAGAAAAGGCCATTCTTATTAAGTGGCAAAGAATTTAGCTGAATTGTGTCTGTGTCCTAATTCTTTATAAACACAGAACTTAAGAATGATGAGCTAGCATACTTTATGGAAGAAATCGTTAAGCAGCAAAACATTCTGGGTGCTGTGTGATTTCTTTTAACATCTTACGGTAAAATTTGAAAAGAGGAAAATTATATAAAGTCATAATTTATAATAGCAGAATGCAAAGTTTTGGAAAATTCCATCTGTCCATGTAAAAAACAAGAAAGAGTATGTAGAACAGAAAACCAAGAATATGGCCAAGAAAACTTTTGGTAAAATCAGTATGGACAGAAGGACGTCAGACGGTGCTATTCATCAAGAAAATGGGAGAATGAGCCCAAAGACATTTCAGAGATCTTCAGGATGCTCCTCCCATTAGAGGCCCAATGTACTGGGATCCTAAGGGAAGAAC